TTTAGGGGAGAAAATTACTGTGCACAGTCAGAGCTGGGTGACAGAAAAATAGTTGTTGCTGGCCAGGCATCCTGCTCTGAAAGCAGTGCCACCAGCAGCAATAGCGGAGAAGTAAGTAGTGCTGCCACTTTTACTATTTTGCTGCTGGTAGTGTCACTGTCTTCAGAGCTGGGCACCCGATCAGCAGCTACTGGTTTCTTCTCTGCCTTCAGAGCTGGGTGGAAGGAAAGAAGCAGCTGCTGACCAAAGCAGAGAGGGGAAAAGGTGTAAGCTACTACAGACAAAAGTAGAGGAGTGCAGTCAAAAATGTTTGGGAACTACTAGACTATATTGCCTTCTCTTGGGAGCCTACAGAGGGCTGGTGGAAATTATGTATTAGTGGTCCTTCCCCTTCCTCGACCCAGCTTCCCATCCACCCACCCTCAATGGGAATGTGATGACTTGTGTGTTATCTTCCTTCTTATTGCTTCCTACTCCCTCTTCCTATTGGTGTCCTGGATGCTTCCTGAACTCAGTGTTCCAGTTTGCCTGCTGGTACATGTACACAGATAGCTCTGGCTATGTGCAGTTATCCAAGGCCTGTTTGGACTGTTATGTTTTTTGTTCATACTATTGCTGACTTAACAGGTTTCTGGTTATTACATGTTTTGATTGACCATCTATGTGCGTGTCTTGCTTCAAACTCCTTGTGATTTTGAATTGCTGTTCTGGAGTGCATCAGAACATAATAATGGGCATACCCTCCTCCCAGAAGTACCCACAGGGCCTCTAACTATGGAGTGAGCCTTTCTCAAGGAGGAGAAGAGAGAGTCTTAAGGTTGCTAGCTGTCACATGACTTTCATCCAGAAGGGTTTATAGGATTCCCCCACAGTTTATCCTCCTCGCTCTTGTAGATTGCCAGGCAGAAGAATTGGAGGCAACCAATCCATCTCTCCTCTTCTGCTTTCTCTCTCTCTCTCTTTCCCCTGAGGGAAGTGCACATGGAACAGCTAGGAGAAAGCAGCTCCAGTGACCTACCAGCAAGATGAGGAGGCTTGAAAAGTGTGATGGAGAATGGAAGTGTAAGGAGGGGACAGAGACTGGGGCCAGAAGGATCAGCACAAGATCAAGGGCATGTTGAGAAGGAAGAGTTGCAAAGACTGAAGGATCAGAGGATGGCCTGAGATGCTGAATAGGAAGGCAGACGCTGGAAGAAGAAAAAGAAAAAAGATAATGAGGAGCAGGGGCAGAATGTAGGAGGTTGCTCCAGATCTTCAAAAACCCCACAAAAACAATATTACATTTTTCAGATTTCTCATTCCCCCCATAGTCCCTCAGATCCTGCCTCTCCAAGACTCTCCCTATCTTGCACCCTGTCTTTTGTAAGCTTCCCCTTACTCCCACAATAACCTTCACCAGCTTCTGAAGGATAGGCCCCTGCCTCCTCCTCACACCTGCTCATACTGCACTTAGGGAATTTACACCCCTAGGAAACAAGCAACATGTTCTCACTGGTGAAAAATATCACAAGCGTTGCTGCTCTGTTTGCCCCAGAAGGGGTATCTCCACCAGTAGATCCCACCAGTACCTGGAAACTGGAGGCATGCAGGTAAGTATAGCGGTCAGTAGGTTTTCGGCATAGGGTGGTATTGATGTGACCGTCACTTATTTGTACTGTGGTGTCCAGGAAATGGACCTCCCGTGTAGATTGGTCCATGCTGAGGTTGATGATGGGGTGGAAGCTGTTGAAATCATGGTGAAATTCTTCCAGAGTCTCCTTCCCATGGGTCCAGATGATGATGATGTCATCGATGTAGCGTTGGTAGAGAAGGGGTTTAGTGGACGAGAGCTGAGGAAGCGTTGTTCCAGGTCAGCCATAAAAATGTTGGCGTATTGTGGGGCCACGTGGGTGCCCATAGCAGTGCCACTGGTCTGGAGGTATATGTTGTCACCAAATCTGAAATAGTTGTGTGTGAGGATAAATTCACAGAATTCAGCCACCAGTTGTGCTCAGCATGGACCAATCTACACGGGAGGTCCATTTCCTGGACACCACGGTACAAATAAGTGACGGTCACATCAATACCACCCTATACCGAAAACCTACCGACCGCTATACTTACCTGCATGCCTCCAGTTTCCATCC